ACACACACACACACACACACACACACACACACACACACACACACACAATACAAGGAGATGTCCCAGTCTTATTTTGATTCTAGGAACTGAAACCGCACATATGACTTCAATGCAGGAAATTGGCTCTCTTCAGAACAAGAGACAGTAGAATGACCGTAGGCAGCTAAGGGCTATGTGGTTTTGTGTTAAGGTAGACAAAAGGAGCTAGAATCTTTTTAAAAAAATTACAACAATCCAAGGTGAATAAACCCCAGGCACTTTTGAATATACCATCCAAAATACACAGGGGTTGGCAAAAAAAAAAAATGGGGGGGAAGGGGTAGTCAGGGACTGGACTCAGGAACTTAGTCATTCTGTTTCTACTTGTATGTGCCTGTCCTCTCTCTGTACCTGTAAACATGTTCTTATCCCTCCAGTAGACTGTAAGCTCCCTGAAGGCAGGGACCGCTTCATTTTTGTTTGGACATAGCACTCAGCACAGTGCCTGGAAGAGAGCAGGCACTTAATGAATGCTTCTTTTTTTTTTTTAAATTATAAAGAGTTGGATTAGAGCACAGGCCTGGTTTAATCAAATTATAACAAGATAAAGCTATTTATAATGGACAGGGGCTCAAATGGTCACTAGCTATATGGGCAATCACTAAATCTTTTCATGCATCATTTTCCTCATTTGCAAAATAGAGATGATAATACTTGTACTCCCTTCTGGGGTATACTGGTAAATATTTAACAACCAGATTATTCATATTGAATTGGCCTAAAGTCATATGGCCTCCATAGTTCTCATACTGGGACCTCTATGGTAGAGGAATTTCACCCTTTCTCCATGGATTCATCTACACTCAAACACGAAGTAGCTTTGAATCATTCTAATCAAAGTGTTGAAGATCTGAAAGTGTCCTTAGAGACTATCTAGCCCAGGGGTGGGGAGCCCCTGATTTCTAGTCCAACTTCTCCATTGTTGTTTAATAACATTGATTGTGAAGGGAGAAATTTTGGGAGATCTTAGTATCACCAGTTTTAATGTTCATGCTCAGTAACTCAATGATACCTTGCCATTCGGTTTTTTACAGAATTTTTCATCCTTCTCTCACACATGAAATCTAAGATGAGTGAGAATTTTAAACTGGAGTCCTTGAGTGACATAGTAGCTAGAAAGCTGGCCTCAAAGCCAGGAAGACTGGATTCAGATCACACAGCAAAATAGGGATGACAATAATAAATGTACTACCTACAGGGGAATGATGGTCAGTGTTTAACAATTAACTCTTTTACACACACACACACAAACACATACACACACACACACACAGAGTATACTTTCAAGTTTAATCTGCATTGTTCACATTTTCTCCATCACTTTCTTAAGACTAGAAATCAATAAAGCAATTTGTCAAGGCAAAAATCAAGAGGCTGTGTGATCCTGGGCAAATCTCTTAACTTCTCAGAGCTTAGGCAACTCTTTAGGATAAGAAGTTGCAAACAAGGTCCAATCCTTGGTAATATTATCTAATACTTTTCCCTTTGCAAGTACTTTCAGGTATGGCCATTGCCTTCCATGAAAAGTGAAATTTTGAGTTTAAGATACTTCCTGTAATGAGCGCGGAAATGTATAGTCAGGTTTGCAAAACAGGAAAGAGTAAATGCTTTTATCCTTGAAGAACCTGTCTCCCAAGGCTTCTAGGAAATGGGCATCACCTAATAGTTGCTATTCCTGTCCTTGCTACTATTGTCCAAGTAGGGCTGTCCCAGATGTATCTTATGTGGCTCAGGTGTTCTTGTCCCAATATGACTGCAGCTGACTGCTTCCAAAAAAACTCCTGGAGGAATGGGGGCTTTCTAAAAAGGTGACTCTTCTCCCTTCCTCAATGCCAACTGAGATAAAAGGAATCAGGCCACACTTTTAAGAATCACATTGGAAATAGAAGAGAATAGTTATCAAAATCAAGAGATACCTTCCATGAAATTTTACCTGCAGAAGCATCAGCCACAGGTGTCTTCTCCTCCTCAAACCCAGGCCAACCCCCACCCTCAGCCCCTTGGAGAGAAGATTCTTCTAGGCTAGAGAGTGACTGCATTTCCTTAGGAGGTGTTCTGCAAGGGGTGCTGTTGGTACTGATAACTGCTGATACCCGAAGGGGTACTGAGACTGCAAACGGCTCTGAGATGTTGAGGGCCTTTCGCTGGTGACGAGGGGAGGATTCCATCTGGAAGAGGCTGCTGGTGAAGACTGATTTGCTGGAACTATCATTTGAAGTGTAGAACATGGCAAGCATCTTAGGGGATGCCTGGTCATTCTCTGGATCCTCCACGGCTCGAAATACCTTCAACTGCTCTGGTGGTTGGCGGGCCTGGGGAGCCTTGCCACCCACAACAGAGCCCCCCTCGGCTCCCACTGGGCCTCCATCCTGGCCCCATTCACCCTCTTGCTTGCTAAGGTCACAAGAGCTGCCGGTACTTGTCGTCTGCAGTTTCATCGCTGGGATAAAAAATCCTCCAGTGGTGACAGTCCGATTGAAATGTCCTTTGGCTTCCTTCCCTAGGGTAGTCAGAGCAAACACAGGGACAGTTTTGTGACACCAAAAGCACAGAAAGTTCCTATTCATCCAGATAAATGCGTGATCATTATTCACGCAGGTGTATTCAGTACACCAGAACATACGTACTTGTGCATAAACACTCATACAAGCTTTAAGGGAAAAAGCACGTACGGTCTGACAACAGAATTCTGAGATGGATGGATGTTGTCATGTAACAGGGTTTAACTGAATTAAAAGAGAAAAAAAAATGCCAACTTTGATGATAGCCAAGTCAGTCAAATGCTGGCTGATGACCATTCAGTTGCTTGTCTGTGCACGGTCATAAGGGATCAATTGTAAGAGAGGTTTTTTTTAGAAGAAGCCAGCTGTTAAGGTTGGAATTGGATACAAGCTGAGGAGGGCTGTGCTTTAACACCAGAAAGACCAGAGGTGTCAGTTGATGCAAAAATTTGCTTGGTCCTTCAAGGAACTCTTAAATTAAGGTCTTTTTTAAAGTAAGAGCTGTTAAGGGGATGGGGCAATGAGGGAGGGAGGTGGGAAAGACACAAGGAAGTGAGTGATTTCTTATCCAAGAAAACAGTAAAATTAGAAGGGAATACAAAAGCCTCCTATGATTGATGAGGCAGCCTTCGGGCCACAGAGAAGTCAACAAGACCCAGGTTCCAATTCTGCCACCAATATGCACAGGCTGTGACCCTGGTAAAATCGTGTAATTCCTCAGGGCCTCAGGCAACTCTGAGAATGTAAATTACAGGGCAGAAAATTATTGGTAAAATAGGACTAATTGCGGGGTAAGAGGATGTGAGTTCAGATGCCTCTGATGATGGCACTGGGCAAATCACTTAACCTCTCTAAAAAGAAGCTGAAATAGATCATCTCTGATGTCCCTTTCATGATCTGCATTGGTAGAGGGGATTTCTTCATTGGGAGTTCCCCATAAAAATATCACCGGTTTGGAGCTACCAAAAATTCATGAAGAGAGAGAGAAAGTGTTGGGGGTTTTGAGGTTTCAAGAGGTGAACAGGGATGCCAGATTTGTTTCCTTCTTTCCTTCCCTCCTTCTCTCAACTAGAAATTGGCCTAGATTACACAGCAGACAGGGAGGGAGCAGAGAAAGGAGAGATGGAACTTGACGGGCTCAATGACCAGAAAGGGAAAAGATCCCCATAAGGGAAGTGGTCTGACACCTCTGGTTTCAGCCACAGGGCATTTTGAAGCATAAAACTCGGAAAGCTGAAATGGAGAGGCCCCAGGGGCTTTTCAAACACAGTCTAGAAAGCTGAGTGTAAAGATGAGTGCTAGCCCTAAAAGCTGTCACTGAATATTCCCAACTGATTTTTTTCTTTTTAAAAAAAATTTATTCAAAAGGATTATATTCTGTTTTTGTATTTCTGTTCTTGTTATGCCTTCCCAGTTAATATTCCTTCATAAAAGCTAGGTGATATTAAAACTGGCTAATATTAAAATGATTAACAATAAATTAATTAAAATTAATAAGAAAAAAAATCAAAGGAATTATCTTCTTTAGTCTTCCTTAAAGGAAGTTTAATAAGGACACAGAAGAATTCAGAAAAGCATAGGAAGACTTAAACAGATTAGAAGGAAAAATGTCAAACCATGATTAACAATATATCTAATTAACAGTATGTGTGATGACTACAATAATGGACATAGAGCAAAAATGAAATGGCACTGAATGCTTTGTAACTATAATTTCCCCTATTTGCCTGAATTCCTGCCCATCCTTTAAAGCTTCCTTTGCGAAGCCTTTCCTAATCCCTCTTCTCCACTAGTCACTAACAACCTTGCCTCCCAGAAGTTACAAAGCATTCTATTTTTCAAATCTCTATATCACTTGTCAGGTAATAACATGTTATAGTTTGTCATTGCCCCAGATTAGATTCTAACCTCCATCAGCATATGGAGTGTGTCTCATTTAAACTTTGTACATAGAGCCTAATGTAATGCTCTCCACACAGCAGATATTTTTAAAAAAAATTATGGAATGAATAAATGAATGGATGAACGAATATACTCTTTTTTTTGCTTCTCATTATCCATTACCAATTCCCATTCCTTTCCTCCCCTAAAGGTTCCCCACCTCAACCTCATAACCAATAAGTAGAATAAAATTAAACAAATCAACCTATTATTCATATCTGAAACTCTATGTGTCATTCTGTGACTAAAGTCCATGACCCGAGAGGGTTCCTTTTTCCATGCCACTCATATTAAGATCTCTCCAAGCTCATGCATGATGGAGAAGATCATTGCTCTCTAGCTATGTTAGCCTTAATGACCTCAGTTCTTAGGGGACATGTCATAGAGCTCCTCTGAAAGGGCAGGCTGCTCTGTGGGCCTCAGGACTAAGATTCACCATCACTATACTGCCCCTTTACACTAAGTATAGAGTAAGAGCAGATCTAATTGGGCGAGAAACAGAGGCTTGCAAATGCATGAACGCCAGCAACCAACAGCTCAAAACAGCTGATTCAGATATCGGTTATTAGATCTCACCTTCTACTGGCAGAGAACAGAGAGAGTCCATGCTTTTGGCAGGTCGGATGGTAGCTTTTTCTATTAAAAAACAAACAAACAAACCTCAGTTATTAAAAAATGTAACAATATCACTGAAGAAATAGTATCCTGGAAGAAATAATCAGATTTTTAATATGTAGTAAAAAAAAAAAAATTTCATGAGACTTTTCCATGTAGTATTGAAAATTTACCAGCCCAGAAGACTTAATCATTGGCCAGTTATTGATGTTTCTCAATGGAGCCTCCCTTCTATTTATTAATTATTCCTCCATTGTTAAAGTTCACACATCTTATTTATAGAAGATGTCACCAGGTTGTCACTGCTTACTCTTATTTACACACATTCCTACTAAAATTGGTGACATGGTCTCCAAACCTACAGGAATTAAATTTTAGGGGTGGGGACTGGGCTTTGTTAGGTAAACTCAGAGACAACAATGAGAAATGACAGCTGACAGTAAAGCTGCAGAAAAACTGTTTTAGATAAGTAAAAGGCACCTTGGGTCTGAATCAATTTGTCCCAAATACTTCAGCATATGAGGCAATCTTTGTTTTAAAGCATAACCCACAAATTGACATTCATAATAATGGCACAAATTCACCAAAAAAAGACTAAATTGTTTTCAATATGCTGCTGAACCAGGGAAATAAGTAATCTGTTTTAGAACATTTTTCATTTGAATTAATTAAAATAAATTTTGGTGCTTATTATATCCTTAGATATCTGAAAGGCTCATCTCCCAAAGATTCCAAATAGCCAAAGTTTGTTTTTCTTATTTTTAATTTTTTTCTCCATTTGTATTGATATCTTTTGTTTTTCCATAATTTGCAAATATTTTCCCCCTCCTCCTTTACCCAGAAGGCCATCTCTCTAAGACAGAGGTTTTTTAACTTTTTGGACTTAGAACCCTTCACACTCTTAAAAGTTATTGAGGATTTCACAAAGAGCTTTTGTTTATGTGGACTATATCTCTCAAAATTTACCATATTAGGAATGAAAATGTCATGGTATTATTACAAAAATAATTTTGACCTCAAGAAACCCCCTGAAAGGGTGGGGCTGCCTGGATCACACTTTGAAAACTGCTGCTTTAGGGTTGCACAAGATTTATGATCCCATGACCCTATAAGCAAAAAATTTAAAAAGGAATTTTTTTAAAAAGGCAGTTCAACAAAACTAGTCAGCATTTGCCGAATTTGACTGCATATGCATTCTTTCCACATGGAACCTCTCTTTAAACAATTAATAGCACTGAAATGGTATGGATCTAAGATCTTAGAACAGTTTAAACAATTACTACCACTGCTGTCTGTCACTGCCACTTTTGTACTGACCTTGCCTGGTATAGCATTTCAGTTTTCAAAGTATACTTGTATACATCATTGCACTTGAACCTCAAAACCATCACGAGGTAATAATAATAACAGTAATATATAACATTATTATAGCTGATGTGTACGGAGCACTTTAAGTTTTACTAAGTGCTTTAGAAACATTATTTCAAAAAAAGCTCCTTGACATAGGTATTCCAGACTTTATTATTCCCATTTTATAGAATCTCAGAACAAAGAAGTTAAATGACTTTCTTAAGGTCACGCAGCTAATAATAACTGATGGGACAGGGAATAGAGCTCATGTCTTCAGATTCCTGGTCCAATGTACTTCTCACCATACTAAACAGCAGGTAGAATATGCTTATATTTTAAAATATCTTAACATCATGCATGTAAATGTGCCATCAGAAAACATGACTACCTAAGTTTTTAGAGGTTCAATTATCTTTTTTTTTTTTGGCTAGGCAATGGGGTTAAGTGACTTGCCCAGGGTCACACAGCTAGTAAGTGTTATGTGTCTGAGGCTGGATTTGAACTCAGGTCCTCCTGCATCCAGGGCCAGTGCTCTATCCACTGTGCCACCTAGCTGCCCCATCTTGTAATGTTAAAAAAAAAAAAAAAGGAGGGGTGATAAGGACAAACTTTTGAAGACTAAATGAGACAAAGACAACAAATTAGTTTTTATAAATCTCTCATTTGACAGCATACAAGTGAAACAAGGCTTTTATCTCCTAGACAGCTTGAGATCTAGCTGAGTCAAATCATCTTGAAAGCATCTGTAGATGGCTTGGAAGAAGAACATCAAATAGATGTCAACTAGATGAAACAAAGAGATGAAATCTATTCACCAAATAGATAAATTCATCATCATCTATTTAATCAAATAGATGAAACAAATTTGCCAACCTTTCTAGCATGATCTATTTTCCTCATTGCTATAATCAAACCACTAAAAGCAGAATCTATCATATAGACTCTAGACGAGGAAGTGGAAACTGCACTTAATTTTGAGGAATGTGGAACAGAGGGATGGATATTGCCAAATCCACATATGTAAAAATTGATAATGGAGGCAATACAGATTTAGAATTATTTAAAGATTAATTTTCAAGACATGCCAGAGAGAAGGAAGATCTTGAAAGAATTGAAAAGATCTTAAATAGTATAATTACAACAGAAAGATTCCTGAGAACAAATCAGCAAATACCAACGCATATTTCTATTTTCACATCCCTATACAATATTTATGAGAATCTTCTATTTATAAACATATGTATGTATAAAACTGTGCATAATCTTTGTTGCAGCAATACCACTACACTACTAGGGCTGTACCCCAAAGAGATCTAAAAAGAGGGAAAGGATCTACTTATGAAAAAATATTTATAGCAGTTCTTTTTGTGGTGGCAAAGAATTGGAAATTGAGGGGATGCCCATCAACTGGGGAATGGCTGAACAAGTTGTGGTACATGAATGTAATGGAATACTGTTGTGCTATAAGAAATGATGAGCAGGAGGACCTCAGAAAAACCTGAAAAGACTTAGATGAATTGATGCTGAGTGAAGTGAGCAAGACCAGAAAAACATTGTACATAGTAACAGTAACTATGAATGACTTAGCTATTCTCAGCAAAACAAGATCCAAGACAATTCCAAGGGACTCATGATGAAAAATGCTATCTACATCCAGAGAAGAAAATGAAAGAGTCTGAATGCACACTGAAGCATAATATTTTCATTGTGTGTGTGTGTGTGTGTGTGTGTGTGTGTGTGTGTGTGTGTGTGTGTGTTTTCTTTAGGTCTGTTTCTTCTTTCACAATATTACTAACATGGAAATATGTTTTGCATAGTTGTGTATATATAATCTATATCAAATTGCTTACTATCTCATGGAGGGGGGAGTTGAGGGAGGAGGAATAACATTTGGAACTCAAAATAAAAAAAAATGTTAAAAAATATCTTTACTGTAATTGGAAAAAATAAAACACTAGTTCTTAAAAAAAAAAAGACATCTCCCAGATGAGAAAGAATGGTTAGATCCATGAAAAAACAGTGCATGAGACTCTGTATGGAGCCAGAGTGAAGCATACTTTTCTGACAAGTCACATAGCTTTCAGGAATTTTCCTGTAGTTTGTTCTCTTGCTTTGACATTTCTGTATCCAGAAGAGTGTATAAGTGAATATTTTACTGAATTCCATTTTCCAGATAATTTACAAAAGTTTTAAATAATGTCATTTCAAGATCTAATCTCAGGGAAAACTCACAGATAACTACCTATATAGGTCTATGCATTAGTGTAAGGTGTGTGTGTGTGTGTGTGTGTGTGTGTGTGTGTGTGTGTGTGTGTGAGTGAGAGAGAAGAGAGAGAGACTGGGTCAGTATTTGTATCTCATCCAATCTAGAGTACAGTGGCCATTCACCAGGCAAATTCCACTGTTGATCGACACAGAACCTTTAACCCTTCACTTGCACAGGATCACCATATTGAAGGTAGACTTATTACAGGCTTCTAATTGGCTTTTGTCCTATTCTAGCTCAGAAGTCTTAAGCTCAAGTAATCCTCCAGCTTCAGCATCCTCAGTAGCAGGAATTATAGGGATGTACCACCATGCCCATCTGTCTATGCATTATTATTATAATCTGTAGTTCAAATTTTATCTCTGGGGGCAGCTAGGTGGTACAGTGGATAGAGTACTGACCCTGAAGTCAGGAGGACCTGAGTTCAAATCTGGCCTTAGACCAAATACATGACATTTCCTAGCTGTGTGACCCTGGGCAAGTCACTTAACCCCAATTGCCTAAAAATAAATAAACAAATAAACAAATTTTATCTCTGATGCTTACTAACTGCGTGAAATTGGTCAAGTCACTTAACATCTCTATGATCCTATGAATTTCAATAAACAGATTAGTCTAGTATGATTGCTACTCAGAAAAACTGTGCTGCCTTAAACAGTTCATGTTTAAGTACTTCTCAATTCTATGGTTTAATATCAATCCACTACTATTATGGAAGCAAAATTCACCCTGATTTACAACTCCTCAGGTCTTTCTAGAAGTCATTTTTATGCATGGTCCTCACTTTGGCAACTATCACACCCTCTGTGAAATGGCTGAGTGGCTGCTTCTAATGATGAATCATAAATCTTGGGCAATTCCACAACTTCACCCTTGAGTTTCATTAGAATTCATTCAATACTTCTGATCCTCAGTCATTCATTTATATAAGTATATTGATCTTAAGATCATAGAGCTGGAATGGATTCTAGAGGTGATATAATTCAACCCCTTTGTTTCACAGATAAGGAAATCAAGATTCAAAGAGGTAAGTGAATTGGCCAAGGTCACACTGGTAGTAAGAGACAGAACCAGAATTTAAATGTAGACCCCAAATCCAGTGCTCTTTTTACTACTGTTTCACAGTGTCTTAGTTCTAGGTTAGATTAGAATATCCAGGGCATTTACCATTAATTAAAATTAGTTTAGGTTTGAAAATTTTTCTTAATTTAAAAAAAAATAAGACAAGTAATCCACCTGGTGTCTCTGTGTTCTGTTTCTTAGCTTTCTTCTTTCAGAGTGAACTGGTCTCTGTGGACCATCAAGTGGTCTCACTGATTTCTTAGCTAGCTTCCTCCATTGGTGTGTCTTCACACATTATTGCTTTGGATTCCTTTGTAAGTTGCTCCCTGAATTATTTCCCCCC